TTAATTATGCGCCAGACTCTTTTAATCAAGTTGTAATGTGGTTGCCACTGAAGCTTGGCCCTTCAATGTCTTCTATTCTTGCGCTGTTTTTGCTCTTGCTGTTCCCTACTTTTTTCCTTTTCTTTTTCTTTTGATTTTCCTTTTATTTTCATTACTATTAGTGTCATGTTCTGAGTGTTGTTGTTGTCTAAATCTGTTGTTGATGATGACGTTATGGTCTTGTTCACTTGATTTGCTGTGATGTAAATTTAATTGGAAAAAAATGAAGCACCTGTTTGAAAGACGAAAGACTTACGTTGCGAACTTTATTGAGTTGGTAATGGTGAGCAGTGGTAAGCGAGAGATTTAATTGCACTGAGGGATTTATGGAGCTGGTAAATAAAGTTAAGACATAATTAATTTTAATTAAAATGAGTTCGCGAAAAAATTATAAAATATCTATTTGCACAAAAATAGGAGGAATGTTTAATAGAAAAGGAAAAGGAAAAGGAAAAGGAAAAGGAAAAGGAAAAGGAAAAGGAAAAGGAAAAGGAAAAGGAAAAGGAAAAGGAAAAGGAAAAGGAAAAGGAAAAGGAAAAGGTAAAGGAAAAGGAAAAGGAAAAGGAAAAGGAAAAGGAAAAGGAAAGGAAAAGGAAAAGGAAAAGGAAAAGGAAAAGGAAAAGGAAAAGGAAAAGGAAAAGGAAAAGGAAAAGGAAAAGGAAAAGGAAAAGGAAAAGGAAAAGGAAAAGTCACTAGACTGCTGATCTTGAGGTTGCTTGTTCGGGTTATGAACGACATTGAGGGTGTTTAGGTCAAACGGCCCTCAGATGCGGATTCAGCTGGTCGAGATACATGTCGGTAGGTGGTTCTGGTTAAAAACACACGCCACTTTTTTATGTGTGCCGGTGTAATTGTAAATTATCTTCAAACCAAAGACTTAAGTAGCGAACCTGTACTTCATTTCACTAAGAAAATAAAAAAATTACGTATCATATGCTAAATTCTAGTAAAATGCTAATGCAAAAATAACCAACGACCATAAAACAGTTTTTAAGTCAGAACTAATTGAAATCCAAAATTAAAATTGTACAAAAAGATGTTTTTGCAAACGTTCCATTAGCTTATTTAGTTTCATCGTTTACAAGATGCTACTTTATGACACACTTGGCATATAAAACGCTTTAAGTTATACGAAAATTAACGCTTAAGACCCAAGTGCAATTTCAAGCTTATTTAAATGCAGTATTTAATACCTTTAATGGCTATTATAGAATCAATTTAATCTTATTTTAACAAATCTAATTATCGATTATTTCACGCTACTGCACTCGGTTGTGTTTATAATGGCGAAATAAGTAAGAAAGGTCAAACATAATGTGGCATCACATCTGTAAGATGAATCGCAGTGGCTGCTTTGGAATTGAAATAAATGACAAACACCAAAATAAGCGTAGGTTTAGCGTCATTTGTCAGTTCAAGGCGCATACCACTACACCAACTTAATGCAGTTTTAATAAAAATCGTTTGATATACTGAACCTTGATTAATTTATTTAGCTTACTGCAAGCTAAAGAGATGCATGAAATTCATTGGACGAGTAGGCGTCAGCAGCTCGCTTAGTTGCAAACTTACAACGCATTTGGCTTAGCAAATATCCATCGGCATAAATAGATTGAAACGCGCCTACGCCACTACGAGTTAAGTGAATAGATAACTTATTTAGTAAAAAAAAAACATTCATTCATGTTGAATTACAAGCAAAAAAAATTTCCTTTTTTTTGTCATACAAAAGAAGGCCAAATGGCGTCAATGGTCTCATGAATATTAAGCTTTTAAGCTTAATTTATATAGAAATTGTCAACGATAAAGCATTACTGCATGTGCCACTTAATTTCGCGTAGGTTTCAGCCATTAAAGCTCTTTCGCTGAAAACTACTTACAGCGATCTATGTGTATCTTAGAAACCAGAAAAGGTGCGCACTGCCAACTCGTTAACGCAACAGACACAGTAAGTTCACGGCAAATCAGTGGTGGTGACATGGCGACAGATTAATATAAATCTCGAAGTCAATCGCTCAACCGGAACTGAAGTGTAGCACATGGATAATTTGAAGTATATAGATTTAAGATATTTGAAACTAATTGAGAAATTATAAAATGAACACAAAGAAACACACACCAAACTAGTTGTGAAATTGCAAAAAAAAAAAAATAATTTTAAGTTAAGCAAAATAATGGCCAAAGGCGATAAAAAGTTAATTGAAAATTGACCACTCACCTTTTTGTGCTGCACCAAGCGCGGTGTATGTGTCTACTAATAAATATACATACATTTATGTACATACATATATACATAAATTTTAAGTGTATACCTAATTGTATTTTGAACTTGATTTTGAACCAGTTAATTAAAAAATTAGTAATACTGCAATACATAGTTCATATATACATATGTACCTAAGCAAGGCCACCCAAACTTTAAAAATGGCTGATTATACCAAAAAAAAAAAATAACAAAAAAAAAAATTTCAACAAAATAGATTTATTAATACCTCCATTACCATTACTGACCAAAATAGTCGAATGAATACTTCAGGAGCTAACGAATAGTGGTTCATTTAGCCTGAGGTCCACTGGTGATATCGTCATTATATCCAAACTCTAACTAAATTTTAACACCGAAGGACCAAACGAATGTACCAAACGTTAGTTTTACAAACTGTGACAGAGAAACTATCTTGAAAAGACTATCTGAAAGATCTGCTTAAGAGGAGATCTTGCATGAAACTACATGAAATACTAAATGAAATAAAACAATTTTTACATTTTTCATTTTAAAACAATAAAAACAAAAAACAAAAATAAAATTAAAAAATAAATAAAATAATAATTAAAGAAAACGAAAAGTAAATAAAGTTGTTATCCAAAAATTAAATGGTATTTGAAAAAATATATATATTTTTTTTTAAGAATAACATCTAAAAATTAAAAAAGGAAATTAAAATATAAAAGAGAATTAGTTCACAAAAATTAAATGCAATTAAAAAAATATTCTTTTTGAAATAATATAATCAGGAAATAAAACTAAAAACTATAATAAAAACTAAAAATTAAATAAAATTAAATTAAAATAAAACAAAATATAATAATAATTAAAGAAAGCGAACAAATTCAAATAAAATTCGTTCATATTTATCTTTTTGTGATCTGCTGAGAGCTAGCTGACAAATTAGTAATTTTTTAATTTATTTATTTTCTTTTTGAGACTAGAGACGTGAGACAGCTTACTGAATACCAAATAGTCTCAGAATCGAATCCCAGCGTAAAACTTTCCCTTCTTTTAAAAGTGGCAACCCATTTGAACAAACTTTGGAAGTTTTAAATATCTCAACCCCTTCCACCCTATCTATCTATTTGTAAAATATCAAAATTTTCTCGAATGATGGGCACACCTTTTTAAAAACTTTGCTAACTTAAATAAATTGTTTTTGGTCAAAAGCGCATAAAATTACTTTCTTTCCATATGCTAATACTAACATGTTCAACGAGTTGCTTCATTTAAATTCATCAATATTATGGCAGCTCTTTTCAGACAAATTTCTGTTGAAGTATTCTAAGATTTTGTTACTTGAATTTTAAAGAAACTGTCATATTTACATATGATTACATAATTTTAATAATTAATTTTTAAAAAAGTTGGCAAGCTTATTAAAATATTTCTTAAAATTCATTTGAAAACTCTTGTTCATTTTAAAATACGTTTATGGTGGGTGGCAACTGTGTACATACAATTTTTGGTGTTCTTAAATATCACCCAATTCTAAAGGAGGTAAATATTTAACGCAATTTTTTATAGAAAGTTGGCAACCCTAACCACAAAAGCACACTTGAAGGCACTTATGTTTTGAAAAAAACGTCCGCTCAGAAGCTAATATGTAGTTTGCGCTAATTTGAAAATAATTAACAAACTTGAAAAAAATATTTATTTTTTCTTTTTAAATAAAGAGAAGGAAAAAAAATATTTTATTAATCCTATCAACTAAAGTAATTGAGGTCATAACTACAGCTATTAAAATATGTGGATTTTTTGTTTAAGTCCATTAAGCAATTTACCGCGCTGATATTTTAAAATCATATTTCTTCTCTGCTATCCTTTTACTTTCCGTTAACCAGTTTTTATGTAAGTATGCATATATATATATCTTTTTCTTAAATCTATAAAACGCGGAAATCTTGCAAAACAGCACACCACAACAATGCAGCAGCTTATTTTGTTTTACAAAGCCACCTACAACTCAACTCCAGCCGACCTCACCTATAAACCAGAAAACATCATAAAAAAGTCACAAATAAACAAGCGAAACCAGAAAAATAACACTTGAGAAAACCAAAACGAAATCCCTTCGCTTTCGATGCAATGGCTAAACATGGCAACGGTTGCAGCAACAATAAAGACCAATGCAACTAATTGCTTAACAATAAAGCTGAAGAAAAAGACAAGCACGCCAATAAACAGACAATAAATAAAAGCGAGCGAGTCAAGCAAAAAGCAAAATTAAGTTAAATAAAAATAAGAAAAACAAAAATGAGAGCTGGAAGGTTATGCTGACTTGCTGATACAGACATACGTACATAGTATGTAGGTGCGCCTCTGACTGCCCACTATGACACCAACGTGCTTTGTTGTCGCTTATGCTTACCAGCTGACGGTCAAGTGGTGCTGACCAAATACTGCCAGTGTTTGCACCTCTGAGTCCAATCGAAAACCACCAATTCAATAAATTCTCTCCGATGTGTTTATGTGCGTGTAATGACCGCCAATGTACATGTGTTCGCCGCACACAGAATGCCACTATCGCGCGCGCAACAACAACAACAGCAACCAAATGCATGCTTGCTGCTGCTGACACAAAAGTCAAGAAAGCGAGCATGCAAGCAAGCAAGCAAATATTGGGTAGCAGCAGCACCAGCACCACCATCAAAGCGAATATGAGTGAAATAAATTGACCGTGCGCGCGATCATGGTGACGCGTCTGTCGTCGATTGCTTTGCTATGCTGCGCCAATAGCGGTGAAGAGGTTCAAGCGGTCCGCTCGCGCGCTGCCTGCCCGCTGGTCGCCAACGAACAATGCCACACAATCAAGGTGGTCGCCGGATCGCTACAAATGGTTGGTCTGTTTGTTGGCGAAGAAGCGCTTGCTCCCACTGCAGCCAGCGGCGAGCGGCGGCAACTGACTATTGCATTCGATCGGTTGACTGTTTGACTCTTTACGCTTTCAACTTATTTATTATTATTTTAGTTGCTATGGTTTTTTTATTTGTTTTTTTTTTTGTTGTTGGTTCTCGATTGGTTTGTTCGCTTGTCGTTTACTGCTGTTCTGCAAGTGCAATTTGCCAATAACTTGTGGTGTTTTTGTTCGTGTATGTTGGTGTATGCGCGTATGCATGTAATTGTAGTTGTTGTGATGCAAAACATCAGTAAACATCAATAACATGAAAAAATATATTTTACATGTATCACTTCATTTTGTTTGGCAATGAAATCATTTTTGCAGAAGAAACTATGTAGTATTTACATAAAGGACCGGGATTTGGATTTAACACTTTCACACTAAAATAAGGCGCTTCTCATCTTGCGCTGATAGTTATCCTTAATTTTTTTTTCAACTTCGGTATAATGTTTCTATTATGGAAGTAATGGAACGATGCTTGTTTTCACTGAACACTTGGAAACATCTTTTTTACGAACGGCTCACAATTGGATTACAGTGTAGACGGGGAATTTTTCAACTGACCCCAAATTGAAAAATCTATTCGACTAGCATAATAAAACTATGCTGAGAGTTCGTTTCGGTTTTTTCTGAAATATACTTCGTTGCAGTGATCTGTGTTGTGGCCAAAGACAGGTGGGAAGACCTACAATCCTGCACGGTCTGTAAGAGTCTGTGGCCCACCTAATATGCAAAACGTACTACACTTCTCATAAAACTGGACAGGAGGGATTTGTCACGACTTACTGGCATTTTCACACCTATGCTGGAAGACTAGGACTGGAGCAAAACACTTCTTGCCGCAGCTCCAAATTACTTTGTGCAGAAGAAATAGCAAATCAAATCTCCCGTAGCTGCCCAACACTCTGTAAGACTGGCTTAAGGTTTCCAGAAAACCCCCTTTTCTGCATTCTAACAGTCATAAGAGGTATTAGCCTACTGCAGCTTCTTATATTCATAAACTACACGGCCTGTATCTGGGATAAATAAGGAACTTCTGCGGCTTTTCTTATTTTCTTCTCTTCTTCAGTTTCAGATATATCGCAGAAGTTCTGCACACCCTCTTCCACTGAGATATCAATCACCACTTGGTTTGCCTGTCCTCAATCTTTCTTAGCTTAGAAATATGTAATTTGCAGACTTCTCTTAAAACAAAAACTTCAACCCGAAAAACACCCGCTAAATATGGAAGTCAAATCCACCTTACGAATTGGATTTCAGTCCGAAAAATTCCTAGACTTCTGGCACAAGTAATTTTTCAGACGTTCGCAGCAGATACTTCAAAGTGCTTATTTCTGCTGGAGTTTATCCTGATTAGACGCTTTGGACAATTTAAATCAAACTTTTTTTTACAAATGAACAACATACAATAACAAGACAAACCCCAAATACGTCTTCCATACAATTTTATTTGTTGAGCAAAGGGCAAAAGTTTCAGTGTTTGTATGGAATAACGGGAAAGATATCCAGTAAGAAGATACAATGCAAGTAGGAATAGTATTTTTTGTAGTGCAGCTTGTTGTTATCGGAACGTATCGAATTATGCAAATCGATTAATGTCTATTGAGTTATCGAAATTTATAGACACAGAAAATTAGTTGTCGAAATTTACGGATAGTTATAAAAATATTACGTTATAAAAATTTACGAGATTATTGAAATTTTCCAGTTTGAGAAATGTATTGAATTATCGAGAGCTAACGAAATTTATCGAGTTATCGTAATACATCAAGTTCCTTTTACTTATATAGTCCATATATCCATATATACTGATTTACTGAATTTTGTCGATTTATCGAATCAAAGTTTTTGGAATTTTCAAAATATACCGAGTTATTGAAATTTCGCGGTTATATAAGTTTGTCGAGTTTTATTGTGTTACCAGAGTGTAACGAGTTAACGAAATTTGTCGATAATTTTGGAGAAATATGGAGCTATCAAATTAATCTAGTTGTCGAAATTTATAGAGGTATCCAAATTTTATCGAGTTGTCGACTTAATATATCGACATATATAAATTTTTGAGTTATTGAAATTTATCGAGCTCTCGAAACGCACAGTTATCGATGATTATCGAAATAAGTCAAGTTATCTAATTTTGTTGGGCTATCGGATTTAGGTAGTTATCGATATGTATCAGATTATCGAAATTTATCGAAAAACTGGAATGTATCGTGTCAATTCCAAGTGCTCCAAAGACCTTCAAAGATATAAAAAAAATTGTGTAATATTTTGTACCTTATAAATTAAACGACGTACTCAGTTAGTTAACCTCTTCAGTTCCAGAAGTTCCTTTGCTCTTGAACCTCATTATTGCTTCTCTCCCTCTCTTGGTCGAATGAAGAGACGACATAATCATCGCTATGCACAGGTCTAGGCTAAGGTTACCATTCAAAATCTTTGAGGACTTTTGACCATATTTTCAAATTCGTCTCACCAGGAGTCCATACCTATCTTGAAACCACTACTTATGTATTTTAAGCCTCTTTTTTCTCTCCATTGTAAAAAAAAAGTCGCCTCCGTCCCCTCATCTCTCGATAATTCCCATTTTCTTAACCAAATTCGGAGTTTCGCTTAACTAAAACTTCACTTTTTGCCTGTTCATATTCCCAAATAATTATCTCCATTCAATTGCCAACTTTCTAGAATTCCGACCTGCTGAAATCCACACCCAGTTAACCCATTCGCCCGGCATTCTAAAAATAAACGCGACCATTTAAATACCATTTCAAATCACCTCAAAAGCAACCAACGCACTGCATGCTGCAGACAACACAAAAACAAGCAGTGACATGCATTTGTCTTGTTAAACTGTGTAAATCAATATCACAATGCAGTGAGAGATGTTGCAGACTAAAGTAGTAACATGGAAATGGAATGAAACGAAAATTGAAGTAAGTTAAAAAAAAAAAAAAATAAATGGGACAAAAACAATTTATTTGCGCAAAATAAAAATAAAAAAAAACAACTATACTTTGACAAGCCAACAAGCAGCGGGAGCTACATAGAGACAATTTCTGTAACAGCTTACCACATTTAGCATTTATAGTTTATTTACCACACATCTTTATATGTATATTTGTATGTCTTTAGGTGTCTGTTACTTGTTCATTTCGCATTGAAGACCAAAGCAAATGTTTCAAAAAAAAATATATCGTTACAACATTTTGTCTCACAGCGAGGTGTTAATTATCGGACGCAGCATCTGTGCCAGTGGGCTTTATAGGGCGACATAACTACGTTGCATTTTTTATTTATAACACACATATTCATAGATAAGCATATACAGTGGCGGTCAAAAATGATTTAATGCTGTTTCGTTTTTAATATTTACAATGTTTTTCACGCTAAATTTTTTATTTTTATTTTTTGATATTTTTATATGAAAATATGGTTTTAGCTTTTAGAAAAAATCGCATAAATCACACTTTCAAACTTTATGCAAAACTGAGAAAAATTCCACAAATTTTAATCTAAATTTCGAGCTTTTCGACCAGAATGATTTTAAAATTTTTGGGTATGCAGTTAACAGGATTATTAAATCTTAGTAAAATTAGTGCAAGTTTTGAGCGGCTAAAAATCGCACTAATTTTTAATAATTTTTTTTCTGACGGCTTTTTCGGTTTTTTTTCATATAAAAAGTGAAATTTAGAAAAACTGCCATTGACTTTTTTCGCAAAAGATCTTGCGCATATTCTTCCACAAAAAATTCATGTCTATATGGAAAAAAGTGCAAAACGCCGTCAACAAAATAAAATTATTAAATATCAATGCGATTTTTTAGCCGCTCAAAACTTGCACTTATTTCGCTAAAATTTTATAATCCTGTTAACCATACCTGCATACCTAAAAAATTAAAAAAAAATCTTGCTTAAAAGCTCAAAATTTAAATAAAAATTTGTGGACTTTTCTGAATACTGTATAAATTTTTAAAGCGTGATTTATATGGTTTTTGTTCAAGCATTAACCATATTTTTATAAAGGAATATGAAAAAAATTACAGCTTGAAAACTATTTTAAAAATATTAAATACGAAACATCATTCATCCACTTTTGACCACCACTGTTTTTTATGTACATCTGTATGCATGTATAGCATATAAACCAAAGTCCTTGCTTACGCCTGCAAATACTCTTTTGTAGTGTAGCTGGCAGTCAATGTCCATTTCCCTATTTATCGCCGCGCATGCGCGTACCACGGTGGTTGAACTTTAAGCCATATTTAATTCCAACTCGTACGCGTAGCCTGCCAATTATGCCTTAGCGCAGCCGTTGGCCGCAAAAGAATGTCTTTGTACGTATTTTTTTTTACATGTTGAAGAGTGCGCCCGCTGCAGCTGTCGCAGCATTTTTTTCCTGCTGCATGTTGTCCTTCCTTTCTGCCTGTGTAATTAATATTAAAATATTTTCGCGCACAAATGAATGGCTTTAATTTGATTTCGCTTTTGCTTACCTCTACCTCTATGCACAAGTCGGAGTTCTTGCAACCAGCTGCCTATTTAAGCCTACGCTCATTACTTAGCCGCATTGCTTGCTATTTATAGCCACCGCACAGGCCACCACTCGCGCCACTCAATTCCGAGCGGGTATTAAGGCATTTTTTTTTTTTAATTACCACAAATAAGCATTTAAGCTGCATATCGACGACAAGCAAGTTGCTTGTTGTCCTCCTGTCAATTGCTACACATTTTTTGTGAAGTTTGTTGGATTTTTAAATTTTTTTGAATTGGATTTATTTTGCATTTTTTTCTCGATAGCATTGTGTAGCCTGTATTTGTTGGCGCTTATTTTGTAAGCGACAGTTGATATTTAACTTCTGATTTTATTGCACTTATTTTTTTTGTTTGTTTCTCATGTTTTATTTATTTATGCTGGTTATGCGCAAAGTGTACTATAATTTAAATAATTGCTTAATTGTGAGATAAGGTGTCAGAGCAGCATTTTGTGTACAACATATGCACATATGAATGGTCGCCCCAAGTAGCGTT